GTGATAAGAAGAAATTATATGTTATGTTGTTATAAATAAATTTCTGGGCTGAACATTGATCTTGGCATCCATTTAGATCTCACTTCTTTTGTCGTTGAAGTCAACAACCAGGGCATATATTATAGTATTGAACTTGGCTATCATTTTACATGTATGTTTTGGTGAGATAGACAATAACTACACTATCGGCGGACAACGATTATCTAAAGATAAGCAATAAATTTACTAATGCGTTGCGGTCGTTTGTCGTTTATTAAATATTTTACATTGCACAATTCTGCAAAATGTTTAAATTTTACAGAAATATGGTAGGTACAGTAAAAATTTGTTTGAACCGGAACGATAAACGTATTTTTTTTACGAACCGGAGCGTTCCGGTCCATTTCGACCCTGGGCTTACTTCGCACCCATCGCACAAAGGTTACATTTGCGCGATAACCTATGAGCCGCACCGTTGTGGTGTCACTTAGGGCACGTCGATGGAACTCGGAAGCTTTTAATAGTCTTAATATTAATAATAAAATAGTGATGAGGAAATGTCAGAATAGCTGTTGTACAATAAAAAAAACTAATAATTAGAGAAATGGGGAATGTGAAAAATACATTACAGTTTTTTTTCTTTTTTTGATATATATATATATTTATTTTGATGTTGCCTTGATGCTTGTCGACTTCTCGCCCGTCGAAGGCCCATAGTTGACGCTTAGTCCATCATTTGGTCGACGAACACTTTTTGAAAAAATCTTGAGACGGACCTGGGGTGATGACGTTCTCGGCCCGTGGTTGTTCAAAGACAGCGTATTTTTATAATTTTATAGGAAACGCTTACACAAGTATACCCCGTGGTATGTGCTAAGACATAGAAGAGGCGATGGTGGCGTTGGCAGCGATCAGTCGCACGAATGTCGTAATACCCGGACACCGCAATCTTCTGATAGGGGGGAAGGAGATGGTCATATATGGTATGTGTGATAGCTTATATAATAAGATTGTTCGTACATATCATTATAATATTAATTGAAAATTGTTCTTATCTGGAATTTTATTCTCATTAAATATTAATAATAATTATAATAAGAAAAAATAAATGAAGAAATAATCTATAATATAAAAATGAATCGCAAAATGTGTTGGTAAGCGCATAACTCAACAACGCCTGGACCAATTTGGCCAAATCTTTTTTTCAAATGTTCGTTGAAGTTCAAGGATGGTTTTTACGGCGAGAAAAATTAGAATTATTGCTGGAAAAACCCTAAAAATAGCCCTTTTTGACCAGGTCGATAACTGCACAATTGAAAATGAATTATTAAATAAAACTATTAAAAAACTATTAAAAAACTATTAAAAAACTATAAAAAAAAACTATTTAAAAACTATTAATTTTATTTTTGGTAGTAAATGACGGTTATTGCATAAATATTAAACAAAAAAAGATCCCGCAACAGGTGTCAAAACAAATAAGAATGTTAGTTCGAAAAATTATTATGCATATCGGTTGATGATTAAACGAGATCAAGACAAAATTATTCTACGATATCATGAGCTTCGTCAACAATTCATGGTCGAAATGTATGTAAAAACAGAGAGCGAACGATTTTGATACTTGCGATTTAATCAAAAAAAGCTGCGTGCAGAAGATTCTCAAAACAATTGTTAGATATTGGAGATGGGAAAGTTACTACAGATAAAACGGAATGTATAAAATTACCGACCGATTTCTGCACAATCATTTATTCGCAAGATGCTCTCATTGACTAGATATTTTCCAATGTACACAGACAATACATAAATCATGAGTGGCTGGCAGAAAGGGCAATTTTAGTAGTAAAAAATGTGGACGTCAACGAATTGAATCTCAAGATAAACATTTATTACCAGGAGACATGGTATATCTATAGATATAGTTTGCTATGCTACTGAAGCTGTAAATTATCTAACAGAGTTTTTAAACTCATTGGACTTACCAGGCATGCCACCGCATAATTTAAAATTGAAGGTTGGATTTCCGGTTATTTTGCTTCATAATTTGACCTACCACGGTTGTACAACGACACGCGATAAGTTGTTAAAAAATTAATGAAAAATGTTATCGAAGTCATAATTTTAAATGGCAAATTCCGAGGTGAAAATATATTATTACCGCGATTCTCTATTATACCCACAGATGTGCCAATACAATTTAAACGCTTTAAATTTCCAATTAGATTGACATTTGCAATGACTATCAATAAGTTTCAAAGCCAAACAACCAGAATAATTTTGATATTAAAAAATATATAAAAATATATAAACTAATATAAAACTTTTTAAACTAGACATTTAAATTATTGCCTCTAATGTATCCAAAAAATAAACAAATTCTTATTAGCATATTGAAATGTTGAAAATACTGTTTTGAATTGTTTTTGACGTTGATATATAATTCCCAATTGTTATAATAATATATCATACTGGGATTTGGAATTTGTCATTCATTTTATACTGATATTTTATCAAAACTTATATGATTGTCAAAAATAATTTAGACATCCGAAATACTTTGGATAAAGTTGGCATATGATAGAATTATAAGAAATTTATAATGGTGATAAAATGGTTAACCTTAAATACTATTTAATAACTTAGTATGAATATGAAATAGTATGATATATTATAGAATAATAGTTCTCATTTTTTAATGAGTTTTTATTACTCCAACAGTAGATAGATACAAAAATTACCCATTCAGTCAATTTCAATTTTAAAAAGTATCTAATAATATGATGCATTGTAAACGTTAGTTATTCATTGTATAAGCGGTTTTATTTACAAATATTTGAAAATACCGTATTTGAAAATAGATTCTGAGAGAAGGTAAATATTTCACGTTCAGAAATCGGGTGCATGGATACAGTGGCGTAGTCAGGATTTTTAAATGGGGGGGGGGGCTAACCACTTTTTTGGATAAGTAAGGTAAGAAAGGATATGAGAATTCATCCTTAACCCCCCCCCACCATCTACCACCAAGTTTCTAAACGTAATTCAAGCATTTTAGAATAGTTTTAAAAATATTTATTAATATATAATTTATAATAATAATAATAATTTTGGTTTCAGTGTTCAGTCACTTGCTCCACTCTGACAGCTGCATCCTCTTAGGTGAATTTCTGGCGAATTCAGTTATTATTTCACTTTCATCGAATTGCTCTTTTTTATTTATATTAGCCATAGCTAACCCATTCAGTCTGTTTTCTGACATGGTGCTTCTTAAAAAAATTTTTAAGCGATTAAATGCTGAAAACGTTCTTTCCGGAGTGAAAGAGGTAACTGGTAACGTGGCGAATAATTATAAAAGTATTTTAATGTTAGGTCGAAGATTGATATGATATTTTAAACACGAGAAAAAGTAAAAAAATTTTTTATATAAATCTGATATTGTTATTTAATTAATGTGTTTTTATTTTATTTTATTAATGTGATACCTGGCATTGGTTTTCTGCAAGTTTTGAGAATTGTGGTATATAATTAGAAACAGCTGCTCTGAAACTTGAATCCAAATTACTGTCTGTAATTCTTGAACGATTTTTGTTCTTTAAGTATTTCATACTCGAAAATGTTGACTCGCATAACCAAGTTGAACCAAAAAATGAAGTTATACGAAGGGCAATGCTTCGTAGATTTGGGTATTTTTGAGTACTCGCGTGTTTTCAAAACTCCGAAGTAATCTTAAGTATTGAATCATTTTGTAACGTTATTATTTCCATTTCCAAAACTGTTATATCAAGATTAAACAAATTTCCAATTTCATTCGCTTTTGTCTCAACATCCCCAGTAAATGGATTTGATATAAACTGCGCAACTGGCTCAAGTATTTTAAAGTCGTTGAATCTTCTTTTAAATTCGGAACGTAAATGTTGAATTATATTTATATGGTTTGTAGGCTCATAAACATTTTCAGAATAATTAATTATTGTTTCTTGAAGAGTAGGGAAAAGCTGGAAATCACCATTTTTCATTTTATTTTCCCAATATGCTAATTTACTAGAAAACGCTTGAACATGTGATATCATATCAATAATTTGTTTTTCTTTACCTTGTAACTCTAAATTTAGGAAATTAATTTTTTCAGTAATATCAACTAAAAATGAAAAATCTTCAAGCCATTTTATATTTTCTAATTCTTCATAAACAATATCAATTTCTTATAAAAAAATTTTAATTTGTGGTAATAATTCTTTAAAATGATGTAGTACTTTACCTTTACTTAACCAACGAACGTTAGAATGTAATAGTAAATCTCCATAATGACAATCTACTTCGTCCATCAGTTCACGAAAAAGACGTCTTTTTAATGCCTTATCTCTGATGCTGTTTACAATTTTCACTACAAGTTCCATAACATTGTTTATATTTATAACTGTACCACATGCTTGTTGATGAATTATACAATGATATTGAAAAAAATGAGGAAACGAATTATCATTTTTACATAACGCTAAAAATCCCTTTTTATTTCCACAAAATGATGGGGCTCCGTCTGTTGTAATACTAGCTAATTTTTCAATTGGAATTTCTTCTTCTTCAACAAATTGTTTAAACGTTTTATAAATATCTTCTCCTCTAGTTCTTCCTGTTAACGATAAGACTTTTAAAAATTCTTCCTTAACAGAAAAATCGTTAAAACACATTTTGATGAAAATAGAAAGCTGTGAAGTATCAATCATATCGTTAGACTCATCCATTTGTAAACTGAAATATGAACATTTTGATAAATCAGTCTGTAATTGAGTTTTTTGATTTGAAGATATGGCTCCAATACGACGCATTACTGTGTTACTTGATAATTGAATTGAACTAATGGCACCTAGAATTTCACTTTTGTTTTTGAAGTCCGTAAATAATGAGTCAGACGCTTCTTTAATTAATTCACCATCGGAAAACGGTTTTTTCTTCTTTCCTAATAAGTATGCTACTTTGAATGAAGCAATAGTTACATTTTGGGCTAATTTATTTGGATTTTTAAAAACAGACTGCTCTTGGTTCAGTTTTAATTTCATTGTTTTTAGCTTATCTTGTCGTAAGCTGGAATGAGTTGGAAACTTTAAATCAAAATCTGCATGTTTAGTCCGTTAATGTCTTTCTATGTTTCCACGTTTGAAAATAGAAAGAGTACCTCGGCATATTAAATACACGCACTTGCCTTTAATGTCAACAAAAAAAAACTCCAACTCCCATTCCTGATTAAAATGATAAGTTTTACACTTTTTATTTGCATTCATTTTATTTGTTGTAAATTCTAAATAAATTTGCAACTTATTAACGAAAATATACGGAACATATACGCGTTGCACACTTGCACGTGACGACTAATTGACGGTATCGATCTATAACTGACAATAATTCTGACTATGTATTATGATTAACCGATAAATTCTAAGAATACAATATAGCAATCCGCATTATCCGATTATTTATTACGCGATCGACCGATAATGGTAAAATTAATTTTTATAACGATCGACCTACATTCCTAGAAAGATCGACTATTCGATCGCGATCGACTGGTTGGCGACCCCTGGTCTACACTAATATGCGGAATTTTCCAAATAACTTTATTAAGTGTCATTGAACCTGAAGTCGTTGATTTAGGTGTTTTTACAGTTAAAAAATTTAAATCATTATTTGTTCTGGTTAAAATTAATTCAAATCTTGAATTAATTAAAATTTTTTTAAAATCTTCAAAAAACCCTAACCAATATGGAAATGATCTACATAATATAAAATAGTAATAATAATATGTAATTAATTAACAACAATTTTTTAATTAAAAGTAATTCTTGATAAATAAATAAATTTAATTAATTAATTTAATTAAAATGTAATATTAATATTACCTGTAATCATCAATAAAACGTGTTGTTAGATTTTGGTCTTCGTTTTCAGTCATTTTAATTCAAATAACAAAATACACAAAATATAAAATAAAATAATAATAAAATAATTTTTTTAATAATTATTAATTAATTTCTAATAATAAAATAAATATATCAGTAAATCAGGAAAAAAAATAAAATACAAAAAAGGTACGACGTGTTGAACGGATTCCCACCGATCGCGGGAGACCTTGCGTTATAATTGTTATAAATCGTGCGTCGTGCCACTCACCAGTCCACGACAACAATATCGGCATTTTAATTCAAATGTTGACAAAATTTGATAATTATAAAAATTATTATGGATTTTAGTATCTACTAGTAGACTAGTATACTTTTTTACTTACTTAAATGTTAGACACTTAATTTATTAAATGAGTTTTAAATTTAAAAATTTCAGGTGATGCTCTTTCCGCCCAAATTCCCAACATAGGGACATTAAGAGTAGCAAAATACAGAGCATTAGCTGCTACCAAATTCACTCCGACCTTTTAACAGCATTAAGCAAAATTAAGTATCTGACAGAGTATGAAAATACTATTCATAACATTGGCTCTGATAAATTCTTTGTTCATTTTTGAAGCAATTTACAATTAATAATTTATCGAGATTAATGTAAAAAGGAACAAATACCTACGATTTTTTTTGACACCACCAGTGGGTGTGTTCGTAAAATAACCAGAGGGTTTAATAAACGTAGTGGCCCAATTTTTCTTTATGAAGGAGTCATGACCCCGCATGGAGTATCCTTTTTGGGTAACGGGTGTGACAACCCCGCGGACCTCAGTTAACCGGTGATGGTGTAGCCTGAAGGGCCTCGAGCCGTCTCAGGTAAGTAGGTGGACACTAAGATCTCATCGCTGAAGCACCATCACCACAATGTTGGGTCCTTCATTAATGAAGATTTGTCGATGGGCCAACACCCCATCACTCTAAAAACACCTCATTGTTAAGTAACTTTTAAACAAGCCTCGGATACAATGTTTTACAGTGGATGTGGGGATGAGAGGCATGAATTTGGAGTTTGCTTTATGATAAACGATAGACTATTACATAACGTCAATAAATTTGAAACCATAAATTAACGAATATGCTTCATCCACCTCAAAACTAGTGGCCAGAATATAATAATAATTAATTGCCACGCTCCGACTGAAGATAAAGACAGAGAAACTAAAGACGCTTTCTATGAAGAACTGTAAAGGACATATGATTCACTCCCCCGACGCGCCATCAAAATAATAATTGGAGACATGAACGCAAAAATAGGCCGGGAAAATGTATTTAGACCAACAATCGGCAAAGAAAGCCTCCACATCGTATCCAATGTCAATGGAACTCGTTTTATAAGCTTTGCGATGTCTCGCGATATTATCATCAATAGCACCTACTTTCAGAGAAAAGATATCTACAAACAGACATGGATGTCCCCGGACGCGTCAACAAAAAACTAAATCGATCACGTAACGATCGATAAATTGCATCGTTTATGGTTAAAGAACGTTCGTAGTTATCGAGGGGCAGATGGAGATACTGACCATTACTTGGTAGTAGCGACCCTAACTGAAAAACTATCAGTAAGCTGGAAGAATAAAACAAATACAATATACTTAGATAGACTTAAAGATCCAGTAGAAGTTAGACAATATAGGACAAGAATAGCTGAAGAACTTCGAAACATAAATGAAAGAGTAGAAAATACGGCAGCAGATAGTCATGAAACCAAATGGACAATTATTTAAAAGGTTATAAACTCCGCTACAGAAAATCTCGAAACAGAACCGAGATCCAGTAAAAAGAACAGTTGGTTCAATAATGAATGTATGGAAGCGGTTAAAATACGCAATGAAGCCCGCTTAAACATGATACAAAATTCATCGATAGAAAATCAAGCAAAATATAAACACTATAAAGAGATAGTAAATAATCAGTTAGGAAAGAAAAAAGACTAGCTGAAAAGAAAGTACTAGAAAAACTTAAAGAAGAAAGCAATAACCCGAGAAAATTTTTCAAATACTGTAAGTACCTTAAGCAAGGTTTCAAACAACAAACACTCTTTCTAAAAAATGACCAGAATTGACGTAGTCCCGCTCTGGTGCAGGTACAATAAGTACACCACTATCGCGGAGCCGCGGCCGCTGTCTACCCAGCCTCAACCCGGGCAACGACAACACCGTTTCTGATACTACCCACCTACCTCGGAAAACCGGGCATAGGTGGGAAAAGTTATCGGAACCGGTTGCAACGTACCGGCCGATCGCCTGAAGTCACCAACTTTTTGCTTGTTACTAAGAACAAGAAAGTTACTTAAGAAGAAGAAGGAGTCATGAATATTAACAATAATAATTTTACAGTTATGTCAATGTTATCGGAACAACATAACACGACATCCATAAGTACATAGTTGAAAAGATGGAAGAGGTGTGGCGTTAGAGCTCCAAGTAGTCATATGTGACCAGTCCCTTGCTCTTATATCGGCATTAGTACAAGCATTCACAGAATATTAAAGTCTTGAAAAGTATCTTGAAGTATGTTTTACAGTGGTTGTTTTGAAAAAAGATGTGGTTTTGCCGACCTGTTATGTAAGAAATGACGTTAACCATTTCATACATTTAGTTTCGTCCTGGAATGAAGTTAAAAGTTCGAAATTTAATCGTACTAAAGAATTAATTACCCGTGGGATGGGTCTTCTTGTTCTTAGTACATCAACTGATGAAGCACAACACATTTTAGAAGCAATTTTTATAATTATTCTCAGCAAATATGATGGAGAAGTTTTGCCATCTGACAGAGACCACACTGAATATAATGAGTTTAGAAAAACACCTTGTGCTGAACAAAAAATGTATCTGGCCAAATTAATATCGTGTAACAAGAATCAATTAGACATTTTAGAACAATCAAATATAGAGCTCCAAAACCCTGAACAAGACATACATTTAGACGATAATGAGTTATATACACCTATGGCCAATTTTAAACATTGGGCCCAACAAATAGCTGATAAAGCCAGAGAAAAAGTAGAAAACGTAATTGGTGTCGTAGATAATGCACAGTGCTCACCAACTCTAGAGCCATGTATTGTAATGAAATTATGAAATTATTATAAACTATGAAATTATTTTCATGCTGGTCGGATATAATGCGGAAAAAGTTTGGGTTCGGCTCAGAAACTGCGTCTAGAAGTAGAATCGAATGTAATTTCATTCATATTAAAAATCGAGTTTTTAAAAATGAAAATTTGCCTCTAAGGATTAACACGTTTTTGGAAAAACTAATATCCTACTATAGAGGCGATCACTTATTGGTTCAAGCCGGATTTAAAGCCGGTAGTTAAATAATTGGTTTTGTTCCATTACATTTTGGTTTATGAACAACAATAATGTTCTTTAACCGTTTTTATACGTTCCGTTCGAAAACTTTGATTGTGATTAGTATTTGATGTCGACGGAGATAATATATTACAACCCATTTCTACATCATCGGTATTTATTCTAAATAATGAAAAAAAAAAAAATTGTATCAGTAGCCCAAAACGTGTAAATGTACAAAAATAAAATAAAATATATTACGAACAATTCAATAGTAATTTGTTCTACATACTCGTTATTTTGATCTTCAATTGGAATAGTTAAACTATCGGTGTTATTCTACAAAATAATTTAAACGAAAATAAAAAATGAAATTGGTAATGAAACAAACATTTAAGTAGATATATCCACTTACTGTTTTTTGTATGCGATGAGTTTGCCAATTTAAAAGTGATAAAACATTTCCTCTATTTTTTTCCCTTTGGATAGTTTTTGTTTTTTATTTCCCATTTTACCAAATTATTATAAATAAAACAAATCACGTTTTATAAAAACAAAATCTAAGTGACTAAAAAATACGTAAAAAATCTTACTATTTTACACTAGTGAAAAAATACATATACAAAGTCCAAGTGTAGTGATGATGTGAAGCCAAGCTCAAATGAATAATATTTCATGTATTCATGTTATATTATTATAGGTACCTATTATATTTCATGTATTTTGGGTCCATCCTACCGATCGATCCAATTATGCAATAACATTTTTGAAAACTAATCTGAATTCATTTTAACACGTTGACGTCCGCGTATATTTCAGAGGTCGCGCCTACCCAGCCGCGTAAATATTGATAACATAACGCTCGTGACGACCAGGCGTCGTCATCGGCCATGTGATATACTATACTGCCTAATGGCCGTAGACGACCACGTGTCGTCATGTTTTATAAATTGTATATAAGAAATAATAAAATTTAAAAATATAATATAATATAATAATAATAATACTTTATTGACTTTTAAAATATTTTATTATAGTATAAAACTAACTTTGAATACTTTGAATACTAATTTATGTAATAATATAACAAATAATAAAATAATAAAATAAATGGTATTGTGACTTCAATACAAGAAAAACATAAAATAAAATAAATACCTATTTAAAATAATGAAAACCATAAAAAAAAATGTATAACAAATGACTTAGACTTAAGTTTGTTTGTGAAAATCTTTAAAACAACCTTCTAAACATAAGCCAGGCTGGTCTTGACACTCGGCACAAAAATATATAGTATCCTTACGAATTCCTTTTGAATAACAATATTTGCACCTTTTGTACATATATCTTTTTTTACTATTTTTCTGAACTTTTAACGGTAAATGAGTTTCAGAATACCTTTTTTTTGAATTGACTGGAATATTTTGACTATCAGGCAATAACCCTTGTATAACTGCAAGCCTGTAGTCATACAATTTCATTTTTTTAACATGTTTGTTGTACAAGTAATATGAGTTTATCAATAACAAGTGCATAAAATGTAGGCCAATTTTTTTATACCATCTTAGAGTTTTTCTCTCAAATGGATAATACGAGGACATTTGGTCTTGTCTATCTATACCTGACATGTTTTCGTTGTAATTTTTTACGGAAATGGGCTTTTTTTTAACTTCTTTTTTTGTATAAATTTCAATCATTTCATGAGGAAATTCGGTACTAATCATTAAAATGTCGCGTTTGTCCTTCCATTTGACAACACAAATACCATCACTCGTATACCTACAAATACTTTCGCCTCTTTTTAATTTTTGTCTTATGACATCTATAGGATTATTTTTACGATTCTGCCTTAAAGTTCCCGTTACGTATGTTTTCTTTATTAACAAGTTTCTAGATAATTTCACACTGTTGTAAAAATTATCCATAAATAGAGATCTACCTGTATATAATAATCCATTCATAAGGTTATCTACCACAAACTCTGTATGAGACAAATCTTCGGATACGTCATGACCTTGCCCAGAATACACCATTACTCTATGAATAAGTCCCCATGGTTCGGTGAGCATGTACATTTTTACACCGTACTTGTGCCTTTTATTTTGTATGTATTGGCGAAAAATTAATCTGCCACGCCATAAAACCATTGATTCGTCAATCGACAAATTTTTGGATGGTTCATAGATTTCTTTCATTTTTGAATTAAAATAATTTAAAATAGGCTGAATTTTATATAACCTATTTCTAGGAGCCAGTTCCCCCTCTTTAGGGTTACAAGAAAAATGTAAAGCCCGAAGTAACAACATGAATCTATTTCGACTCATGTGCTCGCGGAAAAATGGGATGTTGAATAACATGTTTGTCTTCCAATAATCTTCTATCCTAGCTAGTTTTATTGTACCCATATGGAAGAGTAATGAAAAAAATAACTTCATTTCTGATTTATTAGTATCAAACCAAGTAGAAATTCGCGCATTATTTGAAGTAGTACTAAGTAAAATATCAACCGCATAAGCATTTGTTTCTTCGACAAGAAGGTCCAACAATTCGTCAGTAAATAAAAAATTAAAGTAATCTATAGGTTGATCTCCTTCTGGTATATATTTTAGACCAGGTGTACCTATAAAGACAATATTCTCTACAGTCGGGGATTCAGTAAACCAGTCGTATTGATTTTCATTACAACTCAACAAATTATTATCAATACTGCACGAATTATTATCTTCATTGTCTATTTCATTTTCATCTGATAAATTACCTGTATCCAATACATCATCATCATCATTCGAATCAATGCCGAAATCTTCATCCGACGAAAACGTACCATTTTCTAAAATATCCAGTAACTCGCTATCAGATAAAATATTTGTTTTCATACTTTTTTGAGTGTTAGAACTCGTTGACGGGCTATCTTGAAAATTCATATTATTATAATATACTATATAATACTTATAATAATGAATTCCATATAACTATAAAACACTTTTAAAGTAACACGTTCACGTGTTAAAATCGATTTTAATAGAAAAATAATAAATGTTTATCTGCTATACACTATTCATATTGATAACGAATTTATAAGCATAAAAATGCCGGGAAACCGAAACCAGCTGTTTGTTTTTGTTCTAATACTTATACTGAATGGCCGTACTAAATATAATAATCGTTCGCCAACAGCTGATTATTTTATATAACATACAAAAATAATTGTGATATGACGACTACGAGTCGTCATCGGCTGGGCGCGCCCGACATCGGATGACGACTACGCGTCGTCACCGTCGTTCAACGTGTTAATATCTATGTTACGGACATACATAAATGTAGATCCTTACGACCATACGACATGGGCGGGACCACGTAAATCATAAATAATAGAAATCGGGAAATGATTATTATTAACAAGTTAACTGCCTTTCAAATTTCACTGATCTTGCCATGAACGCCTTGAGTATCAATTATGATTCTCAGTCTACTTTTCCAAGTCGCCCTTATATTTTATTGTCAATTTGCCACAATTGCCTTGAGTATCATATATGCACACATTTAATTCATGAACTGCCAACTGAATATCACCTGTGATTCTCAATTCAATTTGTGTATCAAAAAATTCATAAAATTTGCTACAAATTGGTTTTTTGGGCGGTCTAAAAATGTTATTTTTACTATTTTTACTCTATTTATAAAAATATGACTTATGAAAACTATTAAAATTCATGTTCCAACATTGTAACCTATTACCTAACCATCAGAATTCAAAATAATTAGTAATGCATATTAAAAAGGAAACTATATATTGTAATTTATTTTTTATTTGGGATTTTGTATAACTCAAACAAAATGCACAATCTATTATAAATTTATAACAAGTGTTATATTTATTTAAAAACAATATATGTATAACAACATTGCAAACATAATAATAATGTAACATAAAAATATAAAATATACTTCCTTAGTATTTTTATAATATAATATTTCAAAATAGAGTATTATACTTTTTATGAAAAAAAAATGACAACATTGTAAATAATATAATAATAATTTAACATAAAATATACCTCCTTAGTATTTATTAAAATATGTTATCTGGAAAATCAAGTGTTATATTTTGTATAAAAAAATATATAACAACTTTATAAATATAAGAACAATGTAAAATAACATATTATACTTCCTTAGTATTCTTTAAATATTATTTTGAAAATCAAGTGTTATATTTTGTATAAAAAAGTATATAACAACTTTGTAAAAATAATAACCTACTTTTTCTTAATCACACAATGTGTATTAAAGAAACATGGCATACAAAAAAATTTGTTACAACCCAAACATTTTGTTCTGATTTTCCTAGTAACAAGCTGTGCATTTTTGCGTCCACCTTGGAGAACCATTTCTTTATAACATTCGGAACAATGTCCTCTAAACTTTGTTTCCTCTAATTGGTGCTTTGGTTGTTCTGTAGGTATGTTAAGAATATCATTTTTTTTAACTAAACATCGTACCAAGTGTTCTCGAAATGAAGTTACGTTACATTTTTTTTTAGTAACTTCTTCATATAAAGCATTTAGCACAGATGTGTTTAAAAGAAGTTCAAAAGCTATTTTCTTATACCACTTTAGAGTCCGTCTAAGTGGATTGTGGTATGAATTTCTTAGATCGCATACATCAACAAGTGATTTTCCTTTATTATAGTCTAAAATAATATTAGGTTTTTGTATCTCTTTACCATAATTATTAATAAAGGATACCATTGAAGCCTTGTGTTTTGTTGAAATTACCAACACATCACGTTTATCTTTCCATTTCAGTACGGTGACACCTCTTTTACACTGTTTAGCTTTATAATCTCCTTTTTTTAACTTTTTCTGTATCACTTCTTTTGGATTTTTCTTACGGTTTGAACGAAGGGTACCTACCAAATGAGTCTTCCTATTCAATAGTTCAATTGCCAAATCGTATTGTATAAAATATATGAATTTTATATTTGATACTTCTTCTATGGGTGTTAACACGACATGTTTACCTGATAACTGACATTCGTTGTCATACATTTTAATAATTCCAGTGCCCGTTGTATGATTTATTTGAGGTTCCGACTAATCTGTACAAGACGATACTATCGTATCGTTAAGAACAGAGTATATCCATTAATTTTGATACTTAAGTTTGTGATATATGTTCCGTTCTACTGTTATAATTAATGAACGACAATTATTAAGAATTTTATGTGGTTTGTTAAATAAATCTATTTTGCATGGTTGTAAACCGTTATTTTCTTGTATGGGTTGATAAGCGTGACATATTCTATATATTGTAGTTTTTTTACATGTTTGAATTTGAATTTCGGTAAAAGTAGTGTATTCACGTATATCTTTTGTAATGGCTATGTATGGGTTATCCGGATTTATGCTCAATCTCGTATTAATTGAATTCCATAATTTAATGTTCTTACCATCGGAATAGGTATAGCGTTGTATAATATTAATTCTGTATCTGTTATTAATGGTATTTTAGTTATAAAGACTAGTCTCTCATTTTCGTAAAATACTGTTAGTTTAGTTATTTTGTGCAATTCATACAATTCGGCGGTATTGGTTCCCATTGGCACATCGTCTCCACGCCTCGGCGTCGTCCCCACCACGACTGGGGGACACCACAGTTATGCCGGCCATACACGTTACGGTCTACCGGAGAGGTCTACCTGCGAAGGCATGTCTGTGCAGGTAGACCGTAGCGTGTATGGGAATAGACCTGTGCAGTTTTTTTGACCTGTACAGGCGACCAGTGCAAGATCGAAAATCAATTTTTTCTAGCGTCACCGTACGGTGTACCTGTGCGTGTGTGCATGTACTCCGGTCGCCTGCGCAGGTCGCGTCAGTTGTTATCACGTTGTCGCCGTCGGTTGTCACCGCGTCGTGTAGTGATATCGTATTGGCACGTGTATCAAAAATTCAATTCGCAAAAATGGCACCAACCGATTATACTAAAAAAGTCCTTGAAGATTTTATTGCTATATATATAAAATGAATCCATGCCTTTGGCAAGTCAAAAACAAGGACTACCATGATCGTGACAAAAAAGAAGCTGCTTATAAATTGCTCATAGAAAAACTTGGAGAAATTGAGCCGGATGCTAACAAAACAGCAGTTGTGCGAAAAATTAATAATTTGAGAAGCAATGTCAGAAAAGAAAAGAAGAGGTATGAACAATCGTTGAAGTCTGGGGCATCTGCTGATGATGTGTATCATGTAAAATTGTGGTACTACGATTTATTTGATTTCTTGCATGATCAAATATCACCCAGGGAATCTTCATCCAACTTGGATAGTGACGAAGATAGTTGTGAGGTTGGTAAATTTTTTTACATAAAAGTTTTTATTTAAGCAAATCTACAAAGTATAAAACCAAAATAAAAACTAAATATTTAATTATAATATATATAATATTTTTAATTTAAATTTAAATTATATATAATATGGTACTGTAAATAGGAAATATGTAATAGGCATACTTGTTAAATATTTAAATATAAGTATTTAAATACTTTTGAATAATATATATTATATTATATACCTATTATATAATATATAAATAAATATTTATTTAAGTAAATATTTTAATACTTTTTAACTGAAGTATTTAATACCTATTTTAAATATGTTTAACAAGATTGGAACACATTACTATTTACTCCACTCGTTCAATAATAATAACAATTATAATAATAATAATAATAATAATAGTAATAATTAAAAGCAAAACAATTAAATATAATAATAATAGTAAGCATAATTTAAGTAACATAACTATCTTGCCATGGTACTGTTCCCTCTTGATTAAAATTCATAAAATGTTCTCGGACAATCTTCGCGGTGTTCAAAGTATTTCCCGGGTTCCTTCTTTCCAAGTTTTCCATTTCCATTCTGTGTATTATATCCTTCAGAAATTATATTCCCATTCTCCGAACTTTCTCGATAGAAACATTCTTGAGGTGCATAAGATCTTTTTGAGCGTTCAATTAAAAAGTTATGTAATACACAAGAAGCTTTAACTACTTTATCGATAGTTTCGGGTTCTAAATTTATATGAGTATAAAATATCCGAAATCGTGATGCTATTATTCCAAAAGCGTTTTCTACTACGCGTCTGGCGCGAGATAATCTGTAATTTAGAATTTTTCTTTCATGCGATGTTAAATCGGCCTGCCGAAACGGTTTTATCATGTCGGGGCGTAATGGAAACGCATCGTCTGCCACAAATACATATGGCAAAGTTCGGTTGGTTCCTGTTAACGTTTCACTGCTTGGTATATGTAATTCACCATTTTCTAATTTTTCAAAAAATTTAGTATTTTGTAATACCCCTCCATCAGACATTCTACCATTCATGCCAACATCGATGTACATGAATTGATATTTTGCATTAACAATTGCCATAAGAACTAGACTATGATGTCCTTTATAATTAAAATAATACGATCCACTATTAGCCGGTGGAACAATCGCTATGTGCTTCCCATCTATTGAATCCAGACAATGAGGGAAGTTCCATCTTTCTTCATACATCTTTGCTACGCTTTTCCATTCTTCTTCAGATGTAGGAAACTGAAATAAAAGAAAACAGCTATTATCTTATTTGTCCTAGCATAAAAACTAGCTTGTAAAATAAATTAACACAGTTTGTTTTTAGGGACATTTAGATCAACAAAATTCACCTAACGGTGAAACAGTTAACAGTGAAACAACTAATAATAACGAGGTCCAATCAAGATCATCAAATAATTATTCATCACGCCCACCAAAACCGGATAAAGCAAAAAGAAAAGATGAATCCATAACACATGAATTATTAGAATCTGTACGAGATCATTTTAAACGTCCTCGTGAAAAAACAGAAGACCGCTGTGATGTTATTGCCAAAAATATTGCGATGAAACTGAGGGCTTTAGATGCAACTAACCTGTGTGTCGTAGAAAAGCTTATAAATGATCTACTGTTTGAAGCAGAAATAGGACACCTCACACCCGATCACGCCTATATTAACATGAGAGATAATTTGAGGCAACATCAACGAAGCTATGTTCCTGCTCAGCAATATCAACAACAGGTTCATTATCAATCATCTCCTATTTTCAATGAGTCATATGCCCCAAGTTTTGTTTATTCAGGAAGTCCTAGCCCACCTTGTTTTCCTTTACAGTCTGGTCAACATTCACAGCATAGATCTCAATTATTACCACCTAGCCATATAAACAACAGTCAACAAGCCGATACCTACTCTATAGAAATGCAAACACCTACAATTCAAGTCTATCACGATGAAACAGCGGCACTACCATCGAATCCAGGTTCTACAGCGACATTTATCAATAATTTCAACCCTGATTTGGTATAATTTGTACAGTTAGGTTTTTGTTTTTATTTTAATTTTTTTTGTTAATTTTCATATAATTTTATTATAATATCATAATATATATATTATAGAAAGTACTATAATAAATCAATAAGATTGTTTTAATTACTCACCTTCAGATAATTTCTTCTTAGAACTTGATACAAGGCCTGACATGTTTCACGAATAATTTTCCCGAGCGCTTGAGGTGAAATAGCTGATGAAAATTTAAGGTCCTCATAACTCCTGCCGGTAGCGAGGAACCTCAAAGTAACCGATAATCTTTCATGCGCAGAAATACTTTTTCTCATAACAGTGTCTTCTTTTTTTATCATAGGAGTCACCATTGAAAGTAATTCAAGGTATGTTTTTTCGTCCATTCTGAGATAGTTTTTAAAATCTTCAGGTTCAAATTTTAATTCATTTAATAAGTTTACATGACTATAAGTATCTCTTTTTAATAACCAATCCTTACACCACTTTTTTCGTTTCCTTTTCACTGGTTTTGTTTCTTTTTTTTTTCATAATTAACGCGAGAGCTAACAAAGCTAGTGCGTCCTCGTCCGATGCCATCATGAAAAAACTGAAGACCTCTCCGGTACACCGGAGACACGAACGACGTCTGGTATACCTGCACAGGCATGCCTGCGCAGGTATACCTCTCCGGTAGACCGTAACGTGTATGGCTGGCTTTAGTCGGCGACCCGACCCAATAAGTCCGGACATCGCCGACGGACGAACCACCATAACAGTCACGGGGAAATAGCGTACCAAACTGGAGCAGTACCGCGACTGGCGGTTTGGCGGGGGAGTATGACGCGGACCCGTGTGGCAGCCGTTACCGAAACGGCACACAGTGATCTGAAACGTTATTTTAGGCGCTCAAAAGTCCTATTCCAAATTTATCAAAAAAAATTAAGAAAAATGTTAAAACCTTATTATCATATGTTCCTTAGCTCGAATATAAAATTTTACAATCCTACATTTATTTTTACCATGTGTATAATTATTTGAACATGGACAATTGTACGTATTATACGATTTTTTCGTTATTTTCAATGAAACTTTATTTTTTTATTTATCAGGGAAATATAATTTTTTTTTTGAATTTTTTTTTTCATGTTATTTCCTATATGCGTATTAATTATATTAGACAGGTAAAAAAATATTTATTAAATTTTTTTTTTTACAATCCAAAGTTATTTGGAAATATTTTAAATTTTAAGATTTTTATTTTATTCTGAAGCGTGTAAATAAAAATTACTCAATTTTACCCAAAATCTGATACGTACATAAAATAAAAAATATTCCCAGGATTTTGAAAATGTTATTTTTTTTTGCGTCCATAGGGAGTTATAGCGTACAGCAATTATTTCTGTAAGGTTTATCGTAATATTTGCAACAAAACATGAATTGTGTAGGAAATTTATGAACTTTGGTATTTGAATTGGGTATTTTTATGTCATAAACAGATAAGATAATTTTATGATTACCTATCAATTAAATTATATTGATAATATATATTTGAACGTCTTATCTTTAGTCATTGTGTAGACTGCAGTAGAAACGACAGTATTTTTAGTAAAATATTACTAACCTATTAAATTAAGTAATTTGTATAGTATAATATAAAATATAAGCTATATTTTATATAATGGATAGTCAATTTGAAGGTAAGAGAATATCTACATATACTTTTAATATTAGTTGGTATATATAATTAAGCTAAGTCGGTTTTTATTACGTATTTTCAGTTGATCTCGTAACTAACAATAAGCGTAAAAAATGTATTTTGAATCGTGAACTGTATGAAGTTGTACGTAATAAATGTTCTATGCAATCTGTAACAACTGTTAGTACAAGACAATTATTGTTTATTTTTATTCAAAATAAATTCAATGGTTTGAAGTGGAACAGTGTTTAAAACAATAGAAAGTGCAATATTAAATTTTTCTTTAGCATTATCAAAAAAATGGACAAAAGCTTGCCGGAATAATAATAAATTTAATAAAATTCATACTGAATGGCTTGATTCATACTTCAAAATACCTAACCAAAATAATAATAATGTTTCAACGTCGTTAAACATTGGTAGACCTATTAAAAATTTTAACGAATGTGCAGATAGTTCTAAAAGACGAAAAAATAATATTTCGATAGCTAATTCTACTATGACGACTCCTGAAATACATTACACTTCACAAAATAAATTTTTAATGGCTGGACAGCGAAATATGGTCCAACTTTTTAAAGAGGCAACATCATCTGATAAAGCTTCAGATCTTTTGAAGTCAGTAGTAGTATTAGGGGGCTTCTGAGTCCATTTTTTTTTCAAACATTATATTCGTTGGTTTTTAGTTTTTTAAAATATATCCAGGGGGCTTCTGAGTCCATTTTTTTTTTCAAACATTATATTCGTTGGTTTTGAATCCATTTTTTTCAAGATTATTTTTTAGTTTTTAAAATATATCAAGGAGGTTTCTTGGTTCATTTTTCAATTTAAAAATAAAACAATTTATTCTGTAAAAATGTTCTATATTTATTTTTTCAAATATAAAAAATATAAATATATTTTATAATAAACACGTAAATACATAAAAAAATCCTATACAAGTTTTCTTATCTCTCTAGTTAATGGTACATATTCAATAATACGATCATGAATTAAAATACAATAAGCAGTCACATCAGTAAGGTTTTCTGAAGCATCAATTTCGATACTAACATCAACAGTAGAAGCTCTACTTTCATCATTTTGCTTTGATGCGTCTACACAACAATTGGTGCAGTTGATTTAAATGCTGAAGGACTTAATATTGGATTTCGTTCTCATTTTTCATAATAAGATTCTTGAAACGATGTATACATATTGTATAGTACAGTAAAATTATTTTTTTCAAAGTCTAAGTTTAAATTATCGTAAGGGTATAGAACTGAATTTAGAATTACTTTAATGTTTTTCAAGTTACAATGATCAAATTGACTGCAATCTTTTTCAATAACTCCTTTTCGATTTTTCTGTAAACCTATTATAATATATCGTGGTTTTTCTAATTTTGATGCAGTTTTCAAATTCCAAACCACATTTTTTGTAGTTCCTAATTCAGGGTATTCATAAGTTTCATATGATCTAAAAGGAATGAATAAACTTTTCTCTTTTTCTACAATTTTCAACAACTTTAATCGTTCTGCATCGTCTACACTAATATGCGGAATTTTCCAAATAACTTTATTAAGTGTCATTGAACCTGAAGTCGTTGATTTAGGTGTTTTTACAGTTAAAAAATTTAAATCATTATTTGTTCTGGTTAAAATTAATTCAAATCTTGAATTAATTAAAATTTTTTTAAAATCTTCAAAAAACCCTAACCAATATTTTAAAGGAATGCAGGCGGTAAATTGACCATCATTATCTGTTATTATTGTATTATTTTTAAATGTCCAGCCTGCATTTTCATAACAGTAATAATT